TATATATATATATATATATATACGTACATATATACAAATTTAAGAATAATAATAAAAATAATAAAGAAATTGGAGTGGCACCACCTTCTTTGAAATATCCTCTGGCCGCCATCAATTATATTCTTTAAAAAAAAAAAAACAAAAAAACAAAACCGAAGAAAACCGAAGAAAACAAATCAAGTTCTTTTTTCAAAATTTTAAAGTGATTTCTATAAATATTTTAAAACATAAACAGAAATATAAGTTTGACTATTAATGTATTTCTAGAACCATTATGAATTCTTATACCTGTTAGAGTGGATTTTGATACTTTATATTTTATATAGTTAATTCAATTCTAGCACATCTATATTTAATTTTGATGTTACATTTTTTTTTAATACCATGTTGTATTATATATAACTTGAAACTTAATCCTTAGAGAATAAATACCCATAAAAACATGTTTACTGTATGTATTTTAAAAATCTAATCTAATTAATACACAACAAATTCTGTAAGTATGAAATTAAGATAAACTTATTTACTCTTCTTGATTCATTTCAAGTTCTTCTTGAAGAATAGGAAAGCTAAACATATAAAAAATAAATTTTGTACAATTTGGTGTACAGTTCCAAGTCAAAAAGCTCAACTTTTCATTCATGATATTTTTTCTTTTCTTTTTCTTTTTATAATTGATGATTTTCTGCAAGCCTTTTTTAACTCAGTATCTATCCTTTTGTAATTTTAATTTTATTGCACAAATTGATACCAAATTCAAGTATTATAGTTTTGAAAATGTTGACAAGAAAAAGAAAGATACCAAATTAAACAATATGGAAGACTTTCCGAATGTTTAACATATCATAAGCTTTAATTAATTAATTTATTTGTTATTTTTCAACAGAAAAAAACTAGGTAACTATTTGATTTTTATGTAAGAAAGTGATGAAATAAAAAATCAAAGAATTTTAAGACCCTAAAAGAAATAAAACCTCATAATTTTCTTCATTTTTTATTTCTTTTAATTCTTTCAAAAAGGACAATATTCAGAAATTGTTGGTATAAAAGACATGGATTTGGTTTTCATGTCTTCAACCTAAATATCATATAATGGGACAGTATATATAAATATATATATATATATATACACACATTGAACTTTACACAATGTATCTGCAATTCAATCTCACATGCACATCATCTAAGGTTGCATACTATTGTGATTGCATATTGTGAGGCTATTTTTTAAACAAGTAAGTAACAGTTTACAGTGTGTTTTATCTGGGAAATTATGGTAAATAATCAAAATGTAGATTAATTAATTAATTAATGATAAATATTTTTAACTTGGATCAAGGTTCAGACAAACATTAGACAATGCAATTTTATTTAATTTTGGTTAATTATCACATCAGCACAAATGAAGTGGTGGTCAAGATTGTTACATTTGGAGCTGGTAGACAATGTTAAAACACAGCAAAGGTAAAACATGGAGATGTGTAGAGGTGAGGGCAAAATGTATATCAAAACATGACCTGTGTAAAAATAATAAATAAATAAAATCATTCATGAATTTTGGGCAACATTTACTACTTTTTGATGTGCCCATGTGCATATCCACAATTGTATGTGTAAATTTGTGTGTGTAAATGAAGAACCCAAAGTCAAGGGAGAAGAAGAAGCTAAAGAGCTAGAAGTAAGGAAATGAATAGTTATCTATCAGGTCAAAACTAAGTATGTGATGCAAAAAGTAAACAATATAACCTTCAAGAATGAATTTATCTCTAAGACCTTGTAGCTCTATCATCAATATCCACCACCCATGCTTGCCCCTCCACAACATAAAAATCATTACCAATCTTGTACATTACATATTAACTTGCCTTTTAACTACCTTGTTTGTTTCAAGTAGCAATGTTATAATATAAATATTCTATTACCTAAAATATCAAAAATAGGTATTTTGTTTTAAAAAATCATTTGTAGAATTTTAAAAAAAGAATCATGATTATTATTCAGGCTTTATGTATAATTCATACTAATTAAAGGAGAAGTTATTTTTAATGATTTAAAGGTACAAAGAGAAGGTTCAGGTAGACCAATTTGTAAATCAATACTGTAAAAAGAGATTATAGAGAATTAGTTTAGTGGTTATAGTGTGAAAGTAAATCTTTCTACTATACCAATTAGAAGATTCTTAATATTAATTTAAAGATTTCAAATCATTAAATAAAATACTATAAAGCATTAATTAAAAACTATAAGGTATATATTAAAATGTTATTTTATATTAATTAGGTTTTTATATAATATTATATATATGTAATATTAATATAATTATGCATATAGTGTCAATATAAGTATACACAAATAATATTAATAGAGATGTAGGATGTATGATATATACAACTATCAATTTTGAATAATAAAATAGAATATCAATTACTATGACTAATGCAACTACAATTACTTATAACTAAGGAGAGAACATTCTTTTTGAATCTCTCTCATAGAAGTTAATACATATAAGAAAAGAGACTTTGTGCATCAATAAATATATATATATATATATATATATATATATATTCATTCTAGAAGAGATAAAATTTCTATTGCAAACTTATATACTAGTAGATTAAATAGCTAATTTCATTATAAGAAGGTTGAGAGGAAGCAATTCTAGTAAGAAGAGGAGAAATTTATGAAAAGAAAAAAAAAAATATAAAATTTAATATGAAGAAGAAAACAACTCAATTTTAACAAAAAAATATTATAATAAGAAGGTAGAAAGGTAGCAAATATAACAAGTAGTAGAAAATAATTTTAATTGTAAGAAGGCATAATAGAGATATAATAGTGGTGCTTGTATAATTTAAAAGTTATAATATATATAAATCTAGTAGTACTAACGATACACTTGTTAGATTAGCATTGAATCTATATATTAAAAAAAATTAAGTATTATAATTTAGATATTGAGAATTGCTCCATAAGTTGATTGCCTATGGTTTTCTTGATGCAAATGTTGGTAGTTGTTTTTTTGAAGTCTCAATAGAATATTGTGCAAGTGCCAAAAATAAATAGAATGTATTATTGTTTGTGAATTGGTTAAAAGAACAACCTTTGAGTAATAGAAGTTGAAACCAAGATAAATTCTTTGGCAACAAATAAAATAATAAGAGTTCTATAGTGTAGCTTAGTTCAACTAACTTTAGACAAGAAGCTCTTGGAGCTCAATTGTTGGATTATTGTATATAGTAGTATTACTAAAATTATTTAATAAATATATTTAATAAACCAAAAGACTTCTAAATTTGGAGTAGAGATAGAAGGATGGTGTGGATTGTGACTTGGTTTCAAGAAGCATATGATTTAGCAATAAGTTATAAATATCAAGTTGGACTTACATATAGAAGCATCACAATATCTATGATATAAATGATAATTTTATTGGATTTGATAATTTTTATGTTGCAAGCTCTTAGAGATATAGAATGGCTTATATTTAGTGGTTGGAGTTGTACATAATTAGTCTAAGTAATTATTGGTACTATGAAACTTTTATGAAGTTTTAATTTTAGTATAGATGTGTGAGTTTTTGTAGTTTTTAAGTTATAATTGAATAAAGTTACTAGTAGAAGGAATTTGAATACTATTATATATGTAATCTTATAAAGTATCTTGATTTTGCCTCTATTATTTCTTTTAGAGATATTAAAAGCAATAATTTAGTACAACCATTATGTATCTTAGTACACATCTCTATTGCTTGAAGAATAGAAAGTTATAAAGGCTATTCGTCTATAAGATTGTAAGTTTTGTAGAAAGACAAGGAAATTCAAAAGTAGGTTTACAATGAGGCTTGACATTAGATGAATGTTCAAAAATAACATTTTGTCATGTCAAGCAATCATTTTGGTGAAGTGGATTTTATGAGAATGCATTTCAATTATAAAGAAATTAAACTTAAAGTTACAAAGAAAAAAACAAAATAACTCTAACTCAGCATGTATCTTTAAATTTGACTCCTTTTGATTCTATCATTAAGAGTTTTTTTTCTTTTTAATATAGTTTTGTCATTTTATGAAAAAACTATAGAAATTTTGATACAATATTGTATTTGAATTCAACAAATGTGGTGAAATCTACAAGACATAACAAATTTGGTGATGTAGATGCTTGCTTTTTCTATAATTTTTATATAATCATTGTTATTGAATTAATTTAGATACCTTTGTCAATTGTAATCTTCAATGTAAAGAGACTTAGCTACAATAACTATAGCACTTGCATTAATAAAAATATCTAACTTTAAATTTAGTAAATTTTAAGTAAATAAAATTAAAAAAGATAAAAAAAAAAGTTAGAAGTTATAGGTTTTAGCAAGATAAATGACTTCAAGTTTATCAAGACCAATGAAACAAACTAAGAATACCACCATAAAAAAAAACACTTAGACTTTCAATTTAAATTCTATTTTTCTCACAATATTTTCCGAAAGGAGGTTTATTGAAAGAAGTTTTAAATTTTCAGATTTAATTATATTATTTAAAAAAAAATAACTAAAAGTTGTAACCATTAACCAAGTATTACTCAAAATGTATCTTCTTCACAACGATAGGCTCAACAGAACCCATGTGCATTCTTGAATGGTAGTCTCTCAACACTATCAGTATCACCAACTGCCCACTATAGAAGAAATAATATCCTGTGAGTTAAAGTTTTTAAAATGAAACGGAATTACAGAAGTGATGAGTGTGTGTGTAAACAAGGATTCATGCAAGTAGTGTGAAGTAAAACCAATTGTAAGTGAAGCACAGCTTAGAAGAATGCTGCAGATGTTATTTTTGGAATGAGTATTGCAAAATTTGAAGTTGCATAATAACATAGAAACCCTTGAGGCTTCCATATCTGCACACCAATGGTAAGTAAATAGTGAGTGACCAACCAGGGTTGTCAAGAGTGTGAGAAGCAGGAGGGATGAACAGAATCCAGGAGGCTCGTGGGAGCGGACATTCGTCGATAGGGGGGGAGGGGGGCGGAGTGCCCTAACTCAACCGTCTCCCGCTTCCTTTCCTCTCTCGAAAGCTTCTCGCTGCTCTCCTGGGCATTTGCCTCTTTCTGCTGTCGCGAGCTTACGATTTGCGCAACCCCTGGCTTCAGGTACGTGTTGTCGTGCTTTTGGTATTGTGGCGATGTGTCTACCTCTCTCCCTTCTTTCTACACTTTCTGCATTATTTCTAGAGGATTCTCTCTTTCTCTACTCAGTGCAAGATCTCAGGTTTAGTTTCTTCTTCATATACGATTTCTTAGGTTGGTGCGAGTTCAGCTTGAGCTTGGTTGAGGATTTTCTCGTTTCACAGCCATGGTGTTTAGGATCGGTTTAGTTATCCCATCACCTTTTGAACTAGGCGTCAGATCCAAGCTCTGTCTGAAGTTGTATCGTGCTGCATCTGTTCTCTTTCGTCATCTTTCGTCTCGGAAGGGTGTTTCGTTCGACACCTTGTAATATGAGTCAATGTCAATTGGATTCTTGTTGCTGTATATGTTCAATGTCCTATCTCCTCCTCTCCTTGGAGTACAACCTAAACCCTTCCTCACTAGTCAACGATGTTTGGGTTTTATCTTGCCTCAGGGTTTTGCTCTGCTGATTGTGACCATGGCTCTCGCCTTCGATGAGTATGGCCGTCCCTTCATTATCATTCGCGATCAGGAGACCAAGTCTCGCGTTCGCGGGCTCGACGCTCAGAAAGCCAATATTATGGCTGCCAAGGCTGTAGCGCGCGTCCTCCGCACTTCCCTTGGCCCTAATGGCATGGACAAAATGCTCCAGAGCCCTGATGGAGACGTCACTATCAGTTAGTGCTTCCTTTTCCTCTATTGCTATTCTCACTCCATCGAGTTTAATGCATGAAAGATATTTCTCGATCGCTCGTCTTTGCTGTGCTCATCTTTATTCTATTATCATTTCTGTGATGTTAGTATTTCTAAGTGCACTTTTTAATGCGCTGTTGGTTTTGGAAATTATCAAGGATGCAGGAATGATGTGCTTGATCAACCCTCACATTTATCTGCTCTGTTTTACGAACTATGTCTTTTTTTCTTGTCACTTGCCCCTTCCTGCTTTGTTACATTCTCACATCCAGGATCATATGGTATTCACTTCGACAGCGAACGATGGTGCAACCATTCTGGAGCAAATGGAAATCGAGAATCAAATTGGAAAGCTGATGGTGGAGCTTTCTAGAAGCCAAGACTACGAGATCGGCGACGGTACTACTGGCGTTGTTGTCCTTGCGGGTGCTCTACTGGAACAAGCAGAAGTTTTGTTGGAAAGAGGGATTCACCCCATCCGTGTCGCAGAGGGATATGAAATGGCGTCGAAGCTGGCAGTGGAAAACCTTACTCGCATTGGACAAACTTTTGAATTTAGTCCCGACAACATTGAACCTCTTGTGCAAACATGCATGACCACGTTGTCTTCTAAAATGTGCGGTCTCTATATCCCTTTCACATCTTTGATCTTTATTGGGTGACATGTATGTTAGAGACGAAGAATTGTTTGTGTGGATGCCTATCATAGATGTATTTTATATTTATTGCGTGTGTGTAGGATGCATGAGGTGTGCCCATGTCTGCCATTCCTTTATTTTGTCCTTACTTTACTCTGCTGTAGTTGATCCTCCGTTTGAGCACGTAATGCAAGGGGTGTTTTCTTTTTTGAGCATCACTCGTCTCAAATATTTCATTATTTGTGTGTACTTGTAGAGTTGGCCGTTGCAAGCGACAATTAGCAGAAATTGCAGTGAAGGCTGTCCTCGCAGTAGCTGACCTTGAGAGGTCAGATGTCAATCTTGATCTTATCAAAGTGGAAGGAAAGGTAGGCGGAAAGCTAGAAGACACCGAACTTGTATATGGAATAGTTGTTGATAAGGATATGAGTCATCCTCAAATGCCGAAGGAGATTAGAGATGCAAAAATTGCCATTCTAACTTGTCCATTCGAGCCCCCTAAGCCTAAGACCAAGCATAAAGTGGATATCGATTCGGTGGAGAAATTTGAGGCCTTGCAGGCGGCTGAGAAGTCATACTTCAATGAGATGGTTCAGCAATGCAAGGTGAATTTTCTTGCTCTCATTTTTGCCCATCTCGTCAGATGCTTGTTCGACCACCTAGTGAATTTTTTTGAGTGGTTGTCTGGCCGTATCATCCACCGTGTTGATATTGGTACGCTTCGTTCTCGGTGCTTTGTGCGAGCAGTATGCCAGCATGTTAGGACCATCACCTATTCACGCCTTTTTAGCTTACGTTGTGGATATAGAAGTATAGATCTATATCATCTGGCCTAATCATTTGGAAGTGTTCGTGCTGCAGGATGCTGGTGCAACCCTAGTTATTTGTCAATGGGGTTTTGATGATGAAGCCAATCATTTGTTAATGCATGAAAATTTGCCAGCAGTACGCTGGGTTGGAGGAGTTGAGCTGGAGCTTATTGCTATTGCTACAGGTACAGTCTATGATTTATTTGATATTTTATGGTACTGAACTTGACGTAATTGTTTTTTTGTTGCTCACACTGTCACATTTGGCAACTCGGCGCGTTTCCAGGTGGCCGGATTGTTCCAAGGTTCAAAGAACTTACGCCTGAGAAGCTTGGTAAGGCTGGTCTCGTGAGAGAGAAGGGTTTTGGAACCACTAAAGATCGGATGCTCTACATTGAGCAGTGCGCAAATTCCAGAGCTGTCACTATCTTTATACGTGGTGGTACGTTTTTCCTCAACAAGACCTTTTGTGTGCTAAATTCTGCTCAATTTTCGTTTCATGTCATAATTCATGCTTGAAAAGTCAGAGTCGAATTGTTACCTTGGGAAGGATAGTGAATGTTGCCCAGTAGGTTGCGAGGTTCTCTTGTGAACATGGCACCGATTTTATATTTATTTACATTTTAGCGTGAGAAGATCTGACTTAAACCTCCAACTCTCATCCTGTATGAATAAGAATGAACTAATGGTTATGTGATGTATTCTCGTCTTTTAAAGTTACGGATATAATAGTTTTATCTGCTGTTATTGTATTTGAAATTCCATAATTTGATAGACTTATAATCGTTTTAACTTCCTTGTTGGGAGAACCAGATTTTGGGATGCTTATTTTGAGGATTATTTTTATCAGGTAACAAGATGATGATTGAGGAAACCAAAAGGAGCTTGCATGATGCCTTGTGTGTGGCTCGTAACCTGATTCGGGACAAGGCCATAGTATATGGTGGCGGTGCTGCTGAAATCTCATGCTCTCTTGCCGTGGAGGCTGCTGCTGATAAGATATCCGGTGTTGAGCAGGTCTGATTATTCTCTTTTATTGAAGTATTTCTGGATATTCGTTTTGATGGATGTGCACTGGACATCTACTTTCAGATATTGAAGTTCATGATATCGCGGGTATTTCGGAAATTTCTTGTGGTGATGCTTGTACTCGAGGTTCTTGTGCCAAATCCTTTCTTTGTTTGTGCAGTATGCTATGCGAGCCTTTGCAGATGCGCTAGATATGGTCCCTATGGCTCTGGCAGAGAACAGTGGCTTGCAGCCTATCAATACATTAACTGCTGTGAAAGCTCAGCAAGTGAAGGTAAGAGAAACCGATTTGTTTTATAATCTCAGCGTTGTTGAGGAATATTGTAGGACATCTTCTTAGCTTCTTTTTCTTTCTCGTTGGCCTTCGATTTTCCAAGAATTTGTCGGCACTTTCATCGACTTATGGTTTGATTCTTTCGATTACAGGAGCAGAACCCTCATCTGGGAATCGATTGCAACGACGTTGGAACGAATGATATGCGCGAGCAAAATGTTTTCGAGACTCTGATTGGGAAGAAGCAACAAGTCTTATTGGCAACTCAGGTGGTGAAGATGATACTGAAAATAGATGACGTGATTAGTCCTTCATCATATTAATTTCTTCATGGTTCCGCTCAGGCTTGTTTTGACGAAATTTCTAATCAAGTTTTCTAGGATTCTCTTCGTCTTTTCAAAGACGGCTGCACACTTCCTACGAGATTTACTGAACAGAGAACATGGACAATTAACAAGCTCGGAGTTGCTATTGGGTATTCTTCTGTGAAACTGGAGGGGTGCTTCTAGCAAGAATTTCTCTACTTGTGTTAATTCCTTGGAATCTAGGATCTTTACTTGAGTTTCTGGCCTAATCTTGCTTAAACTTCAATTCTATAATATGGTTGTGGAGGCTTTTAAGTACAGTGGCTTCGTACGAGCTACTTGTTTTGTTGAGCGGATTGGATCTATTAATGATATTCTTCTTAACTGTCTTGTCTTTGGCTTGTACGATATTTATTTTCATTATTACTCTACTCCGTATTCAAAAATAGGACGATCTAAACTATCAACCTAGAGGATTTAAATTAGAAATATCCGCACCATCTAACTGTTTAGGGTCGAAGAACTTGTATAGGAACAATGCAAGTTACAATTTCTAGAGTTACTTTCGAACATCTCATAAGCAATTTACAATCATCGTCTTAAAAAATTACTTTTTAAAATAACTCTTTAAGCATTTGAGTCTGCCACTCGGTTATCTTTATGATACTTTTGTTAGGTATCCCCCTAAATAGGTACCTTGCAGTAATTTAACAGATGCCTTCTACTTCGTTACCAGTAGTAATTTTGCGATGTGTTCTTCAGAAGAGTTCTGAGTTCACAAATCGAGTAATAATCATGTACCACACTCAATCAGAATATTATACAATGTATTTCAAATACTGCAGTACATTTGACAAATAGGTGCTTTGCCATCATAGAATACTGATGGAGCTATAACTATGATACTGTGTAGAGAGTCCTAATACTAAGGAGAAATGGGGAGAGTTCTCAAGTATCATAATTTGCAGTTGGTTGAAATTGAGATTGTTTTGTGAATATATTTTTCAATAAATTACATCAAAATTTGAAATAACAATAGATTAATAGAAAATATTTATTTCTCTTCTGCCATGATGGATATTTTATCGTGTTTAGAATTTATCGAGAGTTTAAAATGAATTGGAAAAGATTTATTCAAAATTTTACTTCGGCTAATATGGAAACTGTTAAAGTGACGATTGTTCATGTCAGAATTTGCTTTTCACAGGTATTGATAATGTCTTTGAAGTGTATTGACAATGCGAGATTTCCCTCATATCGCTTGAGATTGCCAATTCCTCATCGGCGAACACGCAGGGACTTTATATATTTGCGATTTTTCCTGCTATGACTGATTAATTACTTTCAATTCTTGGTGGTTTGAGATTTTAGGCCCATGTATTTGAATAACCAAGCATCAGCAGCATGAACGTATGCATTGGTCGGTGGTGTAGAATTATTCAGCGTTTGACGTTGAGTTTGCTTCAACAGTACCTTCCCCATTTCTGGATTGAGTGCATACGAGTAGTAAACAGAACAATGCAATATGATGAATTCGTCTCTACCGCATGGAAGAGTCATAATTATATCCTCAATGAGGCTTGTTGGCCCGTTCTACGGAATGTATACACAAGAATGCATGTGTTCTAATCTGTTCACAGATGCTTGCGGAGCCATTTGATCACGAGCATATGTGCCTTCCGAGCCTTCTTCACTGCCTGCTTGTCTGTTTCATCGTAGCGAACAGTCCATCCGTGACGCACTTGGGTGAAGATTTTCACGTACAGCCTTACCTGCTTCCTCTTCATTTTAAAGACGTCTTTCAACTCTCCAATGCCGTCAGTTGGGGCTGCCAATACTGAAAATGGCACCGCCATCTCTTGGTAGTCTGAGGCTTCTGTAAGGGAAGGATGGCATTGCACAATTGCGTTCACATGCTTTTTCTTTCCTGAAAGTGCTGTCACCTTCGCTCCCCAGCAGAATCCTACAATACCCACCGAGTGCATTCCACTCTCCTTCAACGCTTTGACAAAAGTGTAGGTCAATTCGACCGACCCGGCCTGAAATTCCAATTCACATATTTCAAATGACGGTTACATAGATGATAGGTGATTTCGAACTGGTCGAACAGTCTTCCGTCAGTAATTAATCAGGAAAGTTCAATTGTAAAATCAAAGCTGAAGGGTGGAAAAATTGGAGACGATCCTCACCGGAGGATGTCTAGGCAACCACTGAGGAAGATCTGCTATGTCAGTAAGGGCGTCGCCGTTGAAGTAATCAGGCGCCACCACATAAAACCCAGCGGAAGCCACTGTATCTGCAAGTTTACTGCGTTTCGCAAGAGGCAATATCTTTACGTCATGGCGTCTTCAGCAAATATTTGTGTGATGCGAAAATGCACTCACTCATTCAACTCTAAATGGAATTAAATGCTGGTTCATTCAGTCCCAAATTACCTAAATGGATTCTGTAAAACAAAATGCACACGACTTTCGCGTACACGAGTAGTTTAAGGTCGGTAACAACATATCATGGGGACGAGAGGGGTGTGACCTACCGGAACAAGGGAGCTTTCCATCCTGTGCACGGCAGAAAGTGTGTTAGAGCATTGCCATAAATCAGATCCCAATATCGGATTATCGGATTGTAGAAGTTTCAATGCAACTACGTCTCCACAAGAAGACGAACAATTCTAGACTTGTGCGTAAGTGTTTATTGGGACATGAGTTGCAACGCTGATGGTTTGCCTCGCTAAAATTCCGTCGGTTCAAGAATGATTCAGAAAATGAAACAGATACTAGGTGTGAGACTCCACACTGCGAGAGGCGAAGAGACACAGACCGTAAATATCAGAGATCATGAGAACGGCTTTGGATGCAGTTGGGGATCCGCTGACGTAGACATCCACACCAGCCAACTTCTCCTCTCGTCCATGCCAATTATTAGTAGCTGGCGGGGTGGCAGTGTGCAAGGTAGCGTCGAACCCAGTCCCCGCACCTGAAAGCAGTGCCACAGACTTTAGTAACTGGAACGAATTGCGAAGCAAGCGAGATTCTTCACGCCGACATCAGCAGTACTCCTATTTCGATGGCTCCAGGAGATTCCACACTAAGAATGAAAATATCCCTTCGTGAAGTGTTCTGTCCTCCCATGCGTTACGATGGGATTGCAAAGAAGCCACATACTTCGCGAGAAGAGCACAATTCTTACATAGAAGATACTTCTAAGAGATTACACAAACAGAGATAGAGATTAGATGCCTTGAATAAATGGCAGAGAAAAATAACCGGACATGAATCTTGCAATGGAAATATATCGGAAATAACAGGTGAGGCAGCTTACTGATTCCTATGTGACACAGCGCGAGCGCCACAACGAGTACATAACGAAGCATCTTGCTTGACCTCGGTCTCGCAAGAAGAAAAAAAGCTGCTGAAAACTTAAGTGTGGACACTGAAAGTATAAAGTACTCCGGAGAAGGAAAACTCTTTCCTGTCCACCTGCTACGAATGATTGCGACTCTCCCTATATGACATACGACTTTGCTTATCAACTCACTTCAAGTGGAATTTGACTATAGCTACCGGACAACTCGCACACTGTGAAGGTGGTCCGTCAGCTCAGGGGACATCGACATTGGTTTTAGCTGGCGACGAATTATTCGGGCACTCAATAAAGTGATAAGGTGGCATGAAATCCATAGCAAAAACGGAAGGTTTCTTTAGATGCAAGTTTTATAAAGCATGCGATGCCATTGCAACGTCCGACGCCGGTCTGGTACGGACAGAAAGCACCATTGCACGTCATGTACTGGATCGTAGGAACCGAATGAAAAAGTGAAAGGCGGAAGCGCAAATATGAGCTGCGGTTTGCGGTGCCACGTTTCAGAGACGCAGCCTGGTGAGTTAGTGCGGTGGACAATGGCTCTGGATGGGGGATAATGCTCCTCATTGCTCGTAGGGGTAGGTGGTCATTGCATGCATGAAAAGACACTGCTCCCTCCCGAAGCAGCATGAGCAGCATCCCGCAAGACCCCGCGAACCTTCCCCATCTCGCTGTTGAGGGAATATAGGCATCTTTGACATATCTTCGAGACGGGACCCTGAACGTGGTCAAGTTTGCTCCATCCAGCTTGGCACAGATTCATGAACCAGAATGGTGCATCACTTGACGAACATCGAGGACAAGAAGTAGGTCTGCATGGAAAAACCATAAATATAAAATTAAAAAAAATAAAAAAAAATAAACCATAAATGGAGATGATCAGAAGCTTAAAAGACTGCTGACGATGGAGAACACGGCAGCTTGTGGGGGGGGGATGAATAGCAGCTATCTCCGTTGCTGTAGCGTGGATGACTCTCACTCAGATGACCATAATAATGGAGTTTTCGCATTTCCAGGAGAGGGTTCCTGTTGGTTCTCTGCCAGTGCGGACCTCCCTCATGCATAATTTTGCTCCATTCCTTGTTACTAGGTGGAGAGTTTTGACCCACTTCAAGTTAAAAAGGTCCTAGTATAATAAGCAAGTATTATGGGGTTTGACACTTTTGCCAGCTGTGATGTGGGTGTCAAGTTTAGTCGAGTGGAGTTGTGTTATTGAGGTCAGGGATCTACTCACTGTGTACCCAATTCTACAAAGTTGCTATTGCTGTGCAAGTTGATTCTGAGGCACATGAAAAAGAAGTCCTACAATATATTACTTGACCCAGTACCTAAACAAAATAATGTGGAGAAATTTGATTTTTTAATTATAAACATAGCCAAATGTAGGGGTAGGGGCTGTTTGTCATTTGGATGGCTGGTGGATGGGGAGCATTACATGGGATACTTGGTGTTGTTTGTGCTTAGCATCAATCCTACTTGCAAATCAGCCACAATGTTGCTGTCTTAATGGGTGGGTGCTTGATTAGGGTTAGACTTGGCTAATTGTGGTGGAGGAGAGTCCTGTGAAGTGGTGATTAAGGTTTTCTTTTATGAGGATTCACCCATCCTGGAAAATAGTTCCTGCACAGGTGTCACAGGGTAATTATTTATTAGTAAGTTGATCACACCACATGCTGTTTTTATGTGGACGTGGTGTCTACATGGCTCCTATGACCCTGAGAAAATTGTTGTTGATTGAACTCATTTGTACTTATGACGAGACTGGCAACACAGCTTGGACTTTGTACCTAAACCTGAATGATTATTTTCCCACTGTGTTCTCTCTCCAGTTGGACTTGCCAGGATGTAATTGGTTGCAATCAGCATTAGTCTGACCAGAAGCTAACCAAGTTATAATGAAGTCACTATGTTGGATACCACATGCAAGTCAGGTTTTTTTTTTCTCCAGTTCAAAGATGAATATGTTTATTCCATATTTCTTGTTGCTTAACAATATGGGAAATATTGACTGTTCCTGTTGTTAATGTATATATGTATAATATTCAACGTTTTGGCTTGTCATGTGAACATCCCTTGCACATGACCTCTGTTGCTTCAAATTGACTGTCAAAAGATGTTTAGAGCCAGGGTGTCATAAACAAAGAAACGTTTTTTATCTCAAGTTTTTCTTACTTCCTTTGTCACCCTGACTGTGAATCTGATGATTTTTATTTTTATTTTTATTTTTTTTGGAAACTATTACATTTGGTTTCTTTGATTAAAAGACAAATTCATGCAGAATATAAAGCAAACAGGGTGAAAGATTTTAAGGTAAATATGATCCAGTATGTGAATTCCCTGTGTAAAGTGTGTTTTAATTTCTTTATAAAAGAAGACAAAAAAAGTGATAATAATAATAATAATAATAATAAACAATATGTAACATTTACAGTGATTACAAAGTGAATATCAATGACACACTGCAGAAGTATTTCAATCAGACTTGCAATGTATGTAAATAACATAATATTCCCACAACAACCAACCACCACCAAACAATCATGCCAAACCAAAATCAAAAACTTGCTCTCAAACATGTTTTCAAACTTCAGTCATACATACATGTTACCTGAACAAATACTTTACAATTAATTAAGTATTTATACACAGTGGTAAAGTCTGTCATCCTACTGTATCCTGTGAAACAATTTTCCCATTGATCATCAATTACTTGATTCATAGCCACAACACATTCAAATGGTTCAGGAGACAGTAAAACTCTGAAGTTACTTGATTAATTGCACCAGAGCTCTTACTTATGAATTCAACTTGTTACAGCCTGTTCTTCTATGGCTGATTCTGTCAAAAATAAATAAATAAATAAATAAAAATAGTGAATTTGCATTGTTCTTTTAATTAAATTGCACTTATTTGCACACTTGCATAAAAACCTACTTTCTTTTAAAAGAAAATAAAAGAGTAAAGAGAATGTGCACACTCTCTCTGACAAGGTTAAGTAAAATAAACATTGATTGAGGATTATAGCATGATGAAGGTAAACATAGTTATCACCAAGACAATTCACATCACAATTTTAGTATATGGTGGTTTCAATTATTGCTGAATCAATTACATGAGCAAAGTGTGTTGTTATGTATGCTTTTATGCTTTTTAAGTAAGGAAGCATGAGTTGTGACCAGTGAGCACTATTCCAGTACATGAAAGAGAACTGTCCAAGCAATTTGGAGATAGATGTTGATATTTCAATCAATTAATCTCCCCATATAACATCTCCTTATATCTGTCCAACTCTGCACATCCCATGACTACCACCATCAATTGAAGCTTGTGTGGGGACAGATGCCACCATATTTCTCTTATATAATTTAAAGTTCAAGGGCTTTCCTATTGTAAGAGTGATTCTCTGTCCTAAAAGAGAGCATCACAGCACTGAAAGTATGCTGACTATTTAAGACACTTACAAGCATCAAACAATGCTAATTTTTCTCTCACAATGGAGTTTTTACAGGGTGTGCTTGCCGAGCTGTTCCCTTCATATTCTATTGCTGAGAGCCATTAGCTCCCTCACAGTTAAGGCAGTTGTATGGGGTAGGTGAGTTGCAGTGTGAAAAGAGCACCAGAGTCCTGACTGGCACTTGGAACACAGCTACAGGGGGTTTCAAGTCTTGTCTGCCTCGTCACCGACACCCCACAGTGTACCTTACTGTATGAATTAAATCTACAAATGTTGATGGCAAATCATCAAAGAGTTGATGTTTAGATAGCTTGGGGGTTTAGCTCCATATTGTTCCCATAAAAAAGCCCCAGTGAAAACTTGTTCCTATTCAAATTGTTATTTTGATTGCATATTAATTAATTTCACCCATGCCATGATGAACCTCTTGAGCTGAAATAGCCTACTTTCCCTCTCAAATCTGCTCTGTTTACGTTTGTTCATTGCAGACCCTGACTTGTCCACTGGTCAGGGTCCAATTGATAATGGACTTGGGGCAGAACCGTGGGTTCTGCCATAATTCTGTGACTTATTTACTTCCTACTTACTGGGCTCCATTGTCGTGTTGTAATACAAGTATACTGTGAAAATATAAAGAAAGGGGACTTTTATTAATGTTCAGTTATCTTGAATATTGGGAGCAACGACCGATTCCAGTGCCAATATTCAGGGGCCAGTTCAGACACCCCGTCACAGTCGGTCAGGGCATACTTACCAGTAACGAAATGCTCCGTTCGAGTCCAATAGTAGGAGTCAACAGAATTGAAAGGACTAAATCGATGACTGAGCGAGCCTGACACGAAGGACCAATTTGACCCAATTACGGGAACATCTAGGTCTTACTACGGGCCTCTTAGCTAATCTGACGCGAAGGACCAATTTGACCAAATTACGGGAACATCCAGGTCTTACTACGGGCCTCTTAGCCAATATGAGACCTGATTTGGTCGGGTGACTCAATGTGGTCCCGATTACGGGGGTTTTGATTCCATCTCAGGCTATCCTGTTCTCTGTGCCATTTTAGGGAACATTGTTTCCGGAAAAAAGAACCCTTTAAAAGGCAAAAAAACGGAGGAGAAAGCTCTGACGGCAGAGCGAATTGGATCCAATTTCAGAAGACCTCTAATCTAGGTCCTATTACGGGTCTTTTACCCAATATGAGACCTGACTTGGTCGAGCAACCCAATGCGGTCCAATTACAGGGCTCCAATTCCGTTTTAGGCTGTTTCGTTCTTTGTGCCATTCCAAAAACGTCCTTTCAGTAAAAAGATCTCTTAAAGGTAAAAATGGGGGAAGAAAGCTCCGTCGGCTGTTCCAATTCGGGGAGTCCAAGGCGAGAGAATAGGATCTTCTCAGGATTAAAGAGGAGGATAGGATAAGAAAATAAAGGAAGGGGAAGAATTATGGTTTTAAGGGTCGAAGAGCTAGCTTCATGCTTCGAAAAAAAAAGACAGAGAATTGAATTTTTTTTTTTCTTCATAGGGTTTTGAGAAGACTGAGGCAATCATTGTTGAAAGTCAATGTTGTACTGGTGAATCGAGGTTTTAATGAAGTGGGTGTGATTACTCTTAACTATTTTGTGAAATCGAAGTTATGTCTGTGATTGAAGAATTAAAAGGGTGTCTATAGGATTGAGTATGCGGAGTGAATGAAAATTTTTGGATTAATCTATCATGACAATCAGTGGATACAAGGTCGTGAGTATAAAGCGGTATTGAAGATTAGCAGATTAGGTTGTTCAGGGTTCTCTGTAACGTCTAGAGACCTACCCGCTGGGGCAAAAAGGATTTCGGCGAGCAGTCAAAGGACATCCGTATAGATTTACGATATATTCTTGCAAT